TTTTTTTTTTTTTTTATGTTCTTTTTCTTCTTTGCCTTTCCTTAAAGATTTGATGGGTTTTGTGGTTGAAGTAAGATTGAGTGTGTTCTTGTATTAAAATAAACTTGGTTCCGTAGGATCAACTTTTTAATTAAAAAGTTCAAGCTTATCTCTTAAGTTTCTTAATTTGAATAGTTTTTCAACTAAGTTAAGTCTGTTAAACATTTACTTCAATTGACTTATCAGCTAATATCACCAAACACTTTTATTACATAAACTGATTTTTAAGCTGTAAAGTTATCAACTATGATCGGCAAGCTTATTAGCCAGACGTATAGCCTTAGATATATGAAAACCAAAAGTAATTCGGAAATTCTCGGAGAAAAGATATTAGTTTGCTAACGATTTTTTTTTTTTTTGGGTATAGGTAAGCTCTTTGAAGCAGATGGAGATGATCAACCGCCAACGAGTCGACAATGTAGTTGCCGGCGATTTCCTGGTAAATTTAACTAACTACCTAACTAACTTATAGTCACAAATTCATTTAATTAATTAATTTATTTATTTCATATGTATAATATAGATATATGTAGAGACTATAACAAGTAGTTGTTACCATGCTTGTATATATATATACTTTCCTTTAATTATTTTATATTTTAATTTTTGGTAGGAAAAGCAAGCCGGCTCGAGTATTGATTCTGAAGATGAAAACAACGTTGTCGACAGCGAAAATACCGATCATCATCAGTATGTCGAGCTTAGGCAAAAGGGACTTTGTCTAGTGCCTATATCAGCATTCATCGATTACTTTCGTTGAAAACGAACATTACACAAGGTTTATTTTTTTATTTTTTTCTGCTGATTTTTTTGCTTTATTGTGAGGAAAGAAACATATATGCAGACATGTACTTGGTAATTAAATGATTACTTTTGTATATGGAGTTTTTATGTGATGATCCTATGTAAGAAGATTATAAAAATGTGTGAAGAGTGAAATTTTCTTAAGTTGTGTTAATGTGTGATGTTAGTTTTGTCTATGATAGTAGTATGTAGAATTGACTTCCTTGTATTAAAAGGATGGTTTTTTGCATAGAGCAAGACTTTTGTGAAATGCCCTCATTGATTTGTACAAGCCTATTTAAGTCATCTTAATTAAGGGATATTATAATTATAACACCCACTACAAAAAAAACTCTTACGTTCCAACAGAAATTTTCCGTTCCAACAGAAATTTTCCGTTCCAACAGAAATTTTCCGTTGCAATTTTTTATATTTCCGTTGGAATAGTTATTCCAACGGATATTTCTACGTATAAAAATCCATTAGAAAAACGACCGTTGGAATAGCAAATATCCAACAGAAAATCCTATGGAAATAAATTCCTACAGCTATTCCAACGGAAAAAATCCGTTGGAATTCCCCAACTATCCAACACTTAATCCAACATAAAATTAAGTTTGTTGGAATATTCATTAGAATTTCCAACAGAAATTTTTGTCATTGGAATTTTTAGTTGGAATTGTAGTGTTTTTTTTGTAGTGACCCAAAAAAAATATATGTGTTGATATTAGTGACATGTCATTATTGCTATGTAAAAAATTATATAAACTTAAAACTTTTATTTCTCAATGTGTAAAGGAAAATAATTTAATATTTTTTTTTGGTACATAAAATAATTTAATATTAACTACTAATAGTACAAATTAACAATTTACTTTAAAGGTTCAAAATTAATGTTTTCAAAATTGTAAATTTTGGAATACTTACAAAATGTTGCATTTTTATATTTAGAATTAATGGTATCCACTATCCACCACCTTAATTAATATTCTCTATAATGTTCTTAATACAAAATTTATTTAATTGATAAATAATAATTTTTTTGTTTTTCAATAAAGACTGATTATATTTATTATTTATTAATTATAATGGTGTTTTTTTTTTACAGAAATATATGCATGCCTAATCAGAGATTATCACAAGATAATTTATTTGATATATTATATTACGAACACTTGACAACAACTAAAAGAAGTTATTTTGAAATATAATTTATATTGACAAAGTATTTTAGAATTTTCAAAATTCTCGTACGGATCAAAATCCAAATTTACTCTAAAACAACAAAATTGATGTATTATAAAACATCAGAAATCGGCGTATTAAAAAAGAAAATGACATATATTATTAAACAACATAAATTAATACTTTTGACTACACATTGAAAAAAAAAAAAAAAAAAAAAA